AGCCCTGAGATATGGGCAGAAGAGCTTATATCCCTTATTGCAGAGGAAGATCCTCTGTGGTGGTAATGGGAGGAAAATGCCTCCCTCCCACTGATTCCTCAGAGAAGACTAATTCCAGTGGTGTTTTACTCCACAGGGAACTAGTGGAGTTTAACACCTCCCTAGAAATCTGTGTGTGATCTTAAGCGGGAGGCTCTCCCAGTGCAAGGCTCAGATTTCCCATTTCTCAAGGCTACCCTTAAGGTTAATAATAATAATAATAATAATAGGAGCTGATATGCTCACTCAGAGAAACTGCTGACATCTTTGTTCCTTCCCTCATCTTACCTCTGGGCAAAGAGACTCCAATAAAAGCAGAGTGGAGCAAACAGTCGCTGCCATTGCCGGAATCCCACAAACAGGCAAGGGACCCCTGAGCTCCCACTTTTAATTCTACTCTGTCTCACGTCTCTTTCTTTACCATCGTTTCTAACTCTGTATATCTTCAGTAGGTCGCCACCAGTTTCCACAGGTCTCAGCAGACCCTGCTCCTGGGACAGGACTCTAGGGGGGTGGGCAAAGGAGGTGTTGCCCTCTGCCCAAATACCAACCATGACAGGAGTCAGGCCCCAGCAGCACTGTCCTGGATCTTTTCTTTCTTTGTCATCACTCTGCTGTCTACTGCTCTGGACCCTTCCTACTACCATTCCCTCAAACTGTTCCTCCACCCATCACCCATCTTGCTGTGCCCTCTGGAAGGCAGGAGGCTATTAACAGGAGAGGACAGGGAACAGGCATGTTAGGGTGCTGGCACTAGTTTTCCTTCCCAGCAGAAAACACTTGACCAAACAAGTGTGTCAGGATGACGATTCTACCTACGCATGTGAATTCCCAGTCTCAGATTGACCATGCATCTGAGGTCACTCGTGGTCCACACCAGCACAGCTGAGGAGGAACATGCAGATGTGCTGAGCCCAGTGCAGGATGCAGTGCCTCCTCCTGACCTCCCTACCTAGAGGAAGCCAAGCCTTTTTGACTCACTGTTCCCCACCCTGAGACTTGGAGCATAACCTCAGCCAGCTTTGCCTGGTCTCAGCAGGGGCACAAGGGCACTGCAGCACTGATGGTTAACAGTTACCCTTGCTCCAAACTCCCCTCCACAGCTAAGGGGAACAGCAATCCCAGAGCCTAAGAAGAGACTGCAGCCACTCAAACAGTGATTACAGGTCACCGCTTTTCTGTAGAGACCTCCCAAACTAATAACATCTGACATTTTTCCAGTCTTAAACCATGCTACACTAGGGCACACGGACTCTTAATAGTGGAATGAGGCACTGTTTACGTGTAGAATCAGAGGTAGTGTGTTAAACACTATATGGATACTTTGTCAGATTTTCTGCCTCTGCAAAATTAGACGAATCTAATACAAATAACATGCAAAATGTTTAGCATAACAGACAAAAAAATTCTTTTGTACTTTTCTTACATTTGTGTAGGAAAACCAAGCTGAGAAATCAACAGACAAGATCCTCCACCTAAACTTGAGGTATTCTGAAGTAAATAATACAAACTTCAGAATAACACATGTAAAAGGAAAACCCACGTGATGCTTGTCACAGTGGGAGCAGTTCCAGGGTGGCACCTCAGGGCTGGTTAGAGGGCTGTGGCTGGGTGTGGAAATAGGGTTGAATATCAGGGACTCACTCTACATTTGACCTGGTACCTCTGGGTTTTATACTTTGGGTATATACTAATACTATTTGATTTGATAATAATCATACAGTTTTTGAGAATTGTGGCACCTTAGCTTTGGTCTAGTTCGACTGTCTACGGTGTCTTTCAGCAGACCTCGTCCTCTTGCCTGTTTGGTGAACAGCTGTATCTCCTGCCCTCTCTCCTAACTGACATACATATCCTGACTGGTAGGTTCTTGCTACAGTATAACAGTTTAACCACATAAATATTAAATTGTGCCTCAGGTGGCGTCTGTGGATCAGTGAGTAGGGCGCCAGTCCCATATACTGAAGGTGATGGGTTCAAACCCAGCCCCAGCCAAACTGCAACAAAAAAATAGCTGGGCAATGTGGCGGGCACCTGTAGTCCCAGCTACTTGGGAGGCTGAGGCAAGAGAATCACCTAAGCCCAAAAGTTGGAGGTTGCTGTGAGCTGTGATGCCACAACACTCTACTGAGGGTGACACAGTGAGAGTCTCTTTAAAAAAAAAATTGTGCCTCTACCCCATCGGGCTGCTCTAGGACATAAGACAAGGTGTCTTGGTCTTGCTCAGGTTGGTCTCAAACCCATGAGCGCAGGCAATCCACCTGCTTCAGCCTCCCAGAGTATTAGGATTACAAGTGTGAGCCACCACGCCTGGCCCAGTTTCCATTTCTTAATGAAGCAGGACGACAGCAGAGACAATCACCAAACGCCCACGTGTGTGGGATTTACCAGTGAGTTTCATGCACAAGGGAGAAAGTAGGACATGATTCAGAACATGTGGTTAAAGTACTTAGATACTGTTTCATGGAAAAATAACTCGTGCCATCCTAAGCTGGCAGAGCTCAAAGCATTCACGCACTCTGGGACTTTCACATATTCTGGATCTCCACTCTAAGGCCACCCTCTCAGTGAAGATGGCCTCACCATGCCCGTGCCTCTTATGCATGTTAGCTATCCTTACAGGACTCGATGTTACCTGCCCTAGCTTACGGTGACATGGGGACAGTCTGTGTCCCTACATTCCAAGGAGCCAGGACTGCTCAGGGATGTCTCCTCAATGGTTGGCACAACACCTTCCTGATGAGGTTTTGCTGAGCAACTGAAAGACAGATTCCTGCATGCTGTGTGACCACAGCAGGTCCTGGTACCAAGAGGCCCTTCCTGACGGCCCCACCTTTCACAGAATCCTAGCTGGCCCATGAGGGATGGAGCTGAACACAGCTTACCCACTTTGAAGTTGGTGGTCTCCAGTGTAGGGCAGGTGAACAGCCTGGGGAAGACCATGTATATGGGGACAGAGAGGCTCCTACAAACATCCCCATCAGCGATCTGGATATTCTGGATCTCTGTAGCATCACGGGCATAGCCTTCTGCACACCCTGAGAAGGGAGAAAATGGCACATGCTTAGGAAACAGCAACAGTCAGAACAAGCTAACACTGAGGCCCTCTATCAATACACTCATCTACTTTTCTATTTTGGTCTATAGGATTGTGTAGAGTTCCCTTCCCTTCCAAATTTCATTTTCCTCAAACATATTTATTGGGACAAAGAGACACGCTTTCTTTCTTCCCCTCACACCCTCTTAACTGCTGACTGTGTGGGAGGCAGAGCCACCCGAGACAGGTCCTCACCACAGGTCTCCACGCGCACCAGCTGTAGCTCTATGCTCCTGACGGCAGCCTCTGAGCTCTCCACCACCAGCTCTCCTGTGAGAGGCTGCGTGATGACACAGTTCGTTGAATTGAGATGTCCTCTAATGAGAAATTTGGGGAGTGAGGCTCTCTAAAACAAAATGAAAACAAATACCTCAGAAACAGAAGGAAAAAGGAAAAATTATTCACTAGTTACTTTGGTACAAGCAAAAACTGGAAACAAAGTTGGGTTACATGATCCACTTGGACTCTGTTTTACAAGCAGGGAGAAACAAACGTACTTACATCTTTCTGGATATTAACAGACTGACTGATTCAACTCTACATGTATGTAAGGCACCTAACTACACTTCTTTACAGAATGACCAGGCAGCTCAGAGAATTCCTAGTTGCCTAGACTGAGATGTGGACAGCTCCTTTACTAAACAGTAAGACATCAAAAAATAAAGTCTGAGGAGTTAAAACTGGATAACCACATGTAAAAGACTGAAAAACCTACACCTTTCACTACTTACAAGAATTGACTTAAGATGGATAAAAGATTTAAATCTAGGACATAAAAATGATAAAAATCCTAGAAGAAAACATGAGAAAAATGCTTAAGGATGTTGGCCTCGGGAAAGAGTTTATGAAGTCGACTTCACTGACAATCACAAGAACAACAAAAATAAACAAATGGGACTTAAGTTAAAAAGCTTCTGCACAGCTAAGGACACAACAATTAAAGCAAACAGACAATCTTCAAAATAGGAAAAGATATTTTCAGATATGTTACAAATCTGACAAAGGGTTAGTAACCAGAATCTACAGAGAACTCAAATGAATCAACAAAAAAAGTACAAACAATCCCATCTGTCAATGGGCAAGAGATATGAATGTAGGACAGAGGAATGGCTAACAAACGTATGAAAAAAATGCTCATAGTCCCTAATCATCAGAAGAGTGCATATTAAAACCAACCTGAGATCAATCATCTAACCCCAGTGAGAAGAGCCCACATCACCAAGTCCCAAAGCTGCAGATGCTGGTGTGGATGTGGAGAAAAGGAAACACTTCTACACTGCTGGTGGGACTGCAAACTAATACAGCCTCTTTGGAAAGAAGTATGGAGTTCCTCAAAGAACTCAAAACAGACCTTCCGTTTGACCCTGCAATCCCATTACTAGGCATCGACTCAGAAGAAGAAATACCATTTTATCATAAGGACATCTGCACTAGATTGTTTATCACAGCTCAATTTACAATTGCCAAGATGTGGAAACAACCTAAATGCCTATCAACCCAGGAATGGATTAACAAGCTGTGGTATATGTATATTATGGAATATTACCCAGCCATAAAAGGTGGAGACTTTATATTTGTGTATTAACCTGGATGGAGTTGAAACACATTCTTCTTAGTAAAGTATCACAAGAATGGAGAAGCAAGTGTCCAATGTACTCAATGCTAGTAGGAAGGCAGTTGAGGATCTAATATACACCCACACAAGAGAAAAACTCAATTCAATTCAAGATGGGGAAGGGAGGAGGAGGGGATAGTTGTGCTCCCACTTAATGGGCATAATATAAGGGTATATGGCACACCTCTTGGGTGTGGGACACAACTACAACAGGGACTCTGCCTAACAAATGCAAATATTGCAACCTAAGTGTTTATATC